ATCCCTCTGAACCTAATTAACTCTCTAACACTAATCTTCTTGTTTCTTCCATCTTTCCAAAAAGCCACTGGATGGAATCGACAGTGTGTAAGGTTACGGACTCCAGGTATCTTAGCTTACCTAACAAAGACAGCCTGAGTTTTTCCATCTTGTTTGAAGGTTGGCTCTTCAGTCAGTGCAGCTGTTCCTCTACCACACTGAGGTGTCAATTTAGCTAACATGCTCTGGAGCAGGGTTTATACCAGTTACCTTCTAACTGAAGGTTTACCTGTTCTGCTGCTGTTTGTTGAAGGATTAATGAGTCTGGCGATCAGGAACATGCCCTCATCACTTATTTAAATGCTCTGGAACCTTTTTTATGTTTACCCTGCTCTGGCAGAGAGTCTCGGCCTAAGTAGTACCTCATCAGAAAGTCAGGACCTCTGTCAGTGCAGCGCTCCCTTGCACATGCATGGAAACGTCAGTTTGCACTATATACTGTAGGGGCTTGCACTCACGGACCAGAGTCTGAGGTGATGGTCTCACTGCTGAGTGGAGCTGACAGTCTACAGCATAGGCAAGTTGTTTCCATGCCGCCCAGTTTTCACAATTTAAACTAGCCCCATTTGCCTGCATTTGGTCCATATCCCTCCATATATATCCCATCCATGTACCTTTTAAATGCTTCTTAAATAACTAAATTGTACTCGCCTCTGCCACGACCTCTTGTGTGGAAAATATTTGGCCCTCTGGACTCATTTGTATCATTCCTCTCACCTTAAACCTATACGCACTAGTCTTAGACTATGCTACCATGGGGAAAAGCTGTCGGCTATCTACCTTATCTGTGCCTTTCATGATTTTATATACCCCTTTAAGGCCACCCCTGAGTCTCCTACACTCTCGTGGGGATACAAGTCCCAGTCTATCCAATCTCTCCTTTGTCAATATAGCATCCTAGTAAATCTTTTATGCACTTTGGTAGAAAACAATGATTTACAGAGGCTATAGTGCCATTTGTGGCTCCTCAGTCAGTTAACCTTTGCTGGGAATCAAAAGGTTGTCAGATCAAGACCAATTCTGCAGCAATGAGTACGGATTCAGACTAACACTTAAATGTAGCATTGAGAGAGTGCTGCACTGTCAGAGGTGCCCTCATTCAGAACAATTCATTAAAATGAGACCCTATCTGTGGATGTAAACAGTCCTATTGGCATAGCTCAAGGAAGTAGGGGCATCCTCCCACTGTCCTTGTCAATCATCAGCTATAAATGGACGAAGAGTGTGTGCATGTGTAAGAATTTTCCTTGCATCACTTTTAGCACAGCATTACTGTGGAATGGTTTGGGACTGCAGAAATTGCACTTCAATAATTTCAAAATTGTTCATAAAACTGGGAAAGGGGGCAGAGCATCATTTTCCTATCAGCACCACAACTCAACAGGCCAACTAGTCTGTTCAACTTGGTGTACTATCCCAACTGAATTAAACCAAAATCTGTAGGAAAAACTTAAGGTGACCACATTAGGGACATTTGATCATGATTCATAAAAAGTTTAGAGAAGAAGAAAAAAAATATATTGTTTGGGGAAAATGAGTGTAGTGGTGATGTCACTGAACTTTAGTCCAGAGGACTGGGCTGGAGACACAGGTTCAAATTCCCCCCACAGTAGCTGGTGGAACTGAAGTACAATTAAGGCTTTAAGATCTCAAATTTCCTCCCTTAAACCTGTTGACATTTCTCCTTTAAGATGCTCTTCAAATTGTCCCTCTTTGATCATATTTTGTCCTGGAATTTCCTTATATGGATCCATGTCAATATTGATATTCGTATGATGCACCTTGGGAATTTTACCACACCTGCTACTTAAATGAAATTTGTGATTGACCGTTGGAATGATAAATGCCTGCTAGTTAATCTGTCTTCCCTCACTATTTCATGAAGGCTACTATTCCTTTTCATTCCTCTTCCCCAGCACTCACTATGCCAGTCTTCTAACTTCTGGCATATAATGAGCCCTGTCTTCCCCAATTATGCCCTCACCTCCCCAAGTTCCTACCTACCTGTTGGGGCTGCTACTTTCAGGTTGGAACTGTGCGGCATGTAGGTGTGAATTCTTGATCTGGTTATTGCGTTGGTGAATTGCGAATCAGGGCCTAGAACTGCATGATTTCCATTGATTGGACAATGGTAACAAATGTTGTGATTCACTGGGAGCGTTTCCTATTTATTGAGTAGATTCAGGCCGATTACTCATCTCTCTCCCCAGTCTGCTGTTCCCTCACTCTGTGCCATACATTACAGAATGTCAGTGATTGTCTAAAATTAACCAATGGCATCACTGGACCTATTGTGACATGTCAGCGTATTGCTAGTTATTACTTACTTAGTTACTTGTGAATTGCTTTGCCAGTTGATGGGATTTCTGCCAAGCCTGCCTCACCGTGTGAAAAATCTAAACCACTCTGACGGCATCTGTCAGCCTATTCTATTGGCCATTAGAGAAAACCTTTTCTCTTCAAGATCGCTGAAAGTCCCTTGCCCTCTGATGTAAGTTAGGGTTTGCCAATTCTGGGATGTGCCAATTCTGTGTCCAATGGCTGATTCTGGAGTTGACTGTTTCTGGGATTCATAGTTCGTAGAATTTGCCGATTCTGGCGTTTGTTGATTCTGGGATTTTTCAGATTTATGGCGAGGTGATGGCCTAGTGGTATTATTGCTGGACTGTTAATTCAGAGACCCAGGTAATGTCCTGGGGATCTGGGTTCAAATGCTGCCTCAGCAGACTTGAATTCAATAATAATCTGGAATTAATCACCTAATGGTGACCGTAAATCCATTGCCAATTGTTGGGGGGGGGGGGGAGAAACCTATCTGGTTCACTATTGTCCTTTCGGGAAGGAAACTGCCATCCTTAGCTGGTCTGGCCTTCATGTGACTCTAGACCCACAGCAACGTAGTTGACTCTTAACTGCCCTCTGGGCAATTAGGGATGGGCAATAAATACTGGGTTATCCAGTGACACCCTCATCCTGTGAGTGAATAAAAAAAAATCTGGGATTGGCTAGTTGTGGGATTGCCAAATACTTGCATTTACCAGTTCTAGGATTTGTGGATTCTGGAATTTGAGGTTTGCCAGTTCTGCGTTGTGACATTCCTGGTATTTGCTGATTCTGGGATTTGTCAATTCTGGTTGGACATTTTCTTGAAGCTTTCATTGCAAAATCTACAAGCAGCCTATTCACTAAAACATGCACTTTTTAAATATTTTTCCAATTAACTAAAGTATTTGAAGAATATACAAATGATACGTCCATACTAATCCCTCGCTCGATCCTGAAGGGTTGGCAACACTGGAAGCTCCGCCCTATGACGCGCGGGTCATTACCGCGCCCCCATGTCAGGACGCATCTGCTCCTATGACGAGTGGCTATGGCGCCGCCATTTTGAATAGGCCGTATTCTATCCCGCAGTGTATTCTGGGTAAAACTAGCTGCCATTATCCCATTAAACTTGCTGCCCACAAATTATGGCAAATTGGAAGGCCGTCTTTCCGGTTTTGCTCTGCACAGCACTTGCAGATCTTTTTACCTTGTAATCTATTTCTCCAGTAGCCCTCATAATTACCATCGTTCACAGTATGTAACCAGTTAGGGAAAGAGGCTTTGCTACTCAGTCAGAAGGCTAGCACTCTGGTAGCTGTGCTTTTCAGAGATGTTGATCACTGAAATTCAATTTTAATTTAGAGAAGAAGGGCAGAAGCTTAGAAATGAGGGACATGATGCTGAGGCATCCACTATTTGCTGTTTGTTTTAGAAAAAAAATTCCTTGCCAGTGAAAAAATGCTTTTAATTTCCAAAACAGCAAGTTAGTTTCTAGATTTTCCAGTCTGCTTTTTCAAATGTAGGTGTCAATTTCAAAATAGCATTTCCGAGTATCTCAATGCTAATTTCTATGGTACATGCAAGTTGTTATCGAGCAATGTATCATAAAATTGAAGGATAACCACTAAATTTTCCACTTTACAGACACAAACCTATCTTAAGGTTGTTTATGCCACTTGTTGGTACAAAACCTGTTCAGAGGTTTATTTCACACACAATGGCAAACCACTTTTCAACTTTCAGAGTAATCACAGATAAACATACATACGCTTAGAGGCTCACTATAAAATTATTGTAGTGGTGCCCTGATAAGATTCCTTCCTTCTTGTGCCTCCACAAGCCCACAGGCCACTAGGACTAACTATTGCTAATTCAACAGTACACAATTAAACTTGAAATTTTTACAAATAAGCTGCACCACTTTGCTTTACCTGCAGTGATAACAAAGAAGATTTAGGGTGTATAAAAGAAAAGTGAATGGACTAAGCTTAAGGGAATAATGCAAGAATCAACACAATTGATAAGCGCTTTATTTAAATGGAGACATTGCATGTTAAGCAAGAGCTCAAAAAATCAGAAATCATTTTCAAGTTTGATCATTTACAGTATCTCACAATCGTACATGTTTCTACCTTTCTGTTCCATCCCCTTTCCTGCTATCCATGCCCTACATTTATGGAGGCATGGTCTCTTTCCTGAGAATTAGTATCATCAGGCATCCTCCAATGTCTAATTGTCTGCTGGAATCATCACGGTTCAGTCAAAATCTGTTCACATACTGGCACTTCCAACAGAAATTGTTTCAGTCTTCAACCTTCACACCACTCCAAGCCCAGATTTGGCTATTTGGCAGTTCAACTGTACGAGGCATCACAGCAGAGCAGAGACCCAGCGTACATCACTACCCTTGTTGATTTCTTAACACTGGTGAAATGAAAGCAGGTAAGTTCATCAGCGGCAGCCACATTCTTGTACGACCATGTTCTCGTGATGACGCAACACCACCTCACCGTTTTCCTTGTACAGCATACTCATAGGACTCATTTTGATGGGAACACAGCAAGGGGCAGGCACCAGTGTGGGGCGATGGAATTTGAGCAGACTCTGAAAATATAATAGTATAATTGGTGCAAATTATTTAAAATTCTTTTTCCATATTGTTACTGAAGGAATGTTTACTTAGAATTTTACTTTTCCAGAGTTCACTGTGTATGTTTGTCCTCCTAAAGGTGCAAATCAACATAGCAGCTGTCATTTTGCAGGTATGAACCAGAGCATTGGGTCCTGGGGAGGTTATTTGATTTTGGAGGTCATTATAGCTCAGCCTATGGTTAAATACAGCATAATGCTACCCTTATCAATAGTGGTCCTCAGTAACAAGCCCCAAGCCCAGAAGAGCAAAGAGTTCACCACATCAGCCTACATCAATATGAAGTTGTTGCTATACCAACAATCCAGTCTATTTGAGATTACAAGTTATAATCAATTGATATGAGCAGTTTAACCCTGTGTGAGTCTTCCCATGAGAACTGAGCATTGATAGACTAACTCAGTTCACAAAGAATCTTTACCAAGACAAGACAGGAAACCACGCATCTGATGAGCTACATTACACCTCAAATTGTAAAGATGAAAGGGCAAGATCCACAGAATCAGAATTGTTATGATGCAGAATGAGGCCATTCAGGCAATTGTGCCTGCATTGACACTCTGAATCAACTTTATAATTTAATGCCACTCTCCTGCCATTTGCCCAAAACCTGTGCATTGTTGCTGTTCAAATAAAAGTCATCCAAATGTCATTTATGTCTGGTATCATTAAGAAAATTGAATAAATATTTGTTATGAAGAATGTAAAAAGATGTGGGTATGGGCAGGATAAATAGAATTACAATAGAAATCTGTAGTTAAAGAGCTGGTCCAGCACTAGGTGTAAAGAGCTGAATGTCCTGTATCCTGCAACATTGTGATCGCGATCAAGGAATGTCTTGATTTTAAAATCCCCATCCTTGTTTTCAAATACATGGCCTTGACCCTCCCTATCTCTGTAATCCCTTTGCAAGTTGAAATTTGATCACTAAAATATCCTGGACTTTAATTTCCCTTCCTTTGGTGGTCACGCCTTCAGCTGCCTGGGCCCAAAGCTTATCATCCTTGCTCTAAAGCTCGCCATCTCTCAAACTCTTTCATCCTTTTAGACACCCTTTAAAACCCACAGCTTTTTATCAACCTGCTCAAATATCATCTTCAACAAAAACAGAAATTGCCGGGGAAACTCAGCAGGTCTGGAAGCAACTATGGAGAGAAAGTTGAGTTGATGTTTCAGTTCAGGTGACCCTTCAGAACAAAGATCACCTAGATGGTTTAGCGTCTAATTTTGCAGTACAATGCTGTGAAAGGCTTGAATTGTTTTATTGCCAGTTAGGAACTATAAAATTGTGAGTTAGCTGCTGTTATTTTAAGGTTTCCAATAAGACTGAATTAGAATAATAGTGCCAGACCTTAAGAATATTGAATTTAAGTACAGTCAATCTAATTTAAGACAGAGAGAGGTACATACACATGTAGATTTATAATATGTGCCTGGACTGTATCAATGCCAATTCAACATGTGGGACAAGTAGGCAGCTGCAATAAATAGCTGAAATTTGGGACTTGTGTCAAAATGCACCAACTGAGAGGGTGGTAGAAATGAATGTGGTGTTACTGGCCAGGCCAGCATTTATTGCTCATACTTATTTTCATCCTTAAGATAATGATGAGCTGTCTTCAATCATTGCAGTCCTTGGAGTGTAGGGACAGTCACAGTGCTTTTAGGAGGAAGTTCCAGGATTTTTACACAGCATCACTTAGGGAACAACAATATATTTCTAAGTCATGTGGCTTGGAAGAATACTTGCAAGTGGAGGTGTTCCCATGCATCATCTACTGGCCAGTAGAGATTGCAGGTTGGAAAGGTGCTATCTAAGGAACCTTGATGAGTCACAAATGTAACTTCCAAATGGGAAATTGGATGAATACAGCAGTGAAAGGCTAAAATGTGGCCTAAAATGTGGGAAAAGAATGTGGTCAGGAAGTAGGATTCATTTGATAGCCCTTTCCAAGAGCCTACATGGGCACGATGGGCCAAATGGCCTTTTTTTGCACTGCATGATTCTATAGTTCTAACAGCTGCATCCATTAAAGAGTAATTGCAGCACAGAAACCGACTGTTCAATCCAACTAATCTGCTCTATGTGAGTCTCTTCCCATCCTACATTAGCAACATAACTTTCCTTTCCCTTTTCTCTCGTGTTCTTATACAATTTCTCCTTAATGCAGCTATGTTATCTACCTCAACTGTTCCATGTGGTGGGAAGTTTGACATCCTCATGATTTTTTATTTGCAATTGTCACTTATTCATTGCAGTATGACAAAACTCCCTAACAATTGGAAACATTTTCCCTGTATCTAACTACCTTAAATCTCTCTTGTCAAGTCACCCCTTAGTCTTAGCTTTTCTAGAGAAAAGAGCCACAGTCTGTTCAGTCTTTCCTGGTCCAAACCTCAATTCTGGTATCATGCTTGTACATCTATTTGCACCTTCTCTAATGCCTGTATTTCCTTTACATAATATGGACACTGCACCATAGGGTCATAGAGTCATTCAGCAGGGAAACAGAACCTTCAGTCTAACTAGTCCATGCCGACCGTAATCCCAAACTAAACTAGTTCCACCTGCCTGCTCATGGCCCATATCCCTCCAAACACTTATCCAAATGTCTTTTAAATATTGTAATTGTACCCACATCCACTACTTCATCAGGAAGTTCATTCCACACATGAACCACCCTCTGTGTAAAATATTTGTCCCTTGTGTCTTTTTTTAAAATCTTTCTCCTTTCACCTTAAAAATCTGCCTCCCACCCCCATCTTGAAATCCCCATCCTAGGGAAAAGACAACTACCGTTGACGCCATCTATAACCCTCATTATCTTATAAACATCTATAAGGTTTGCCTCTCAACCTCCTATGCTCCAGTGAAAAAAGTTCCAGCCTATCCAACCTTTCTTTATAACTCAAACCTTCCATATTTGGCAACATCCTGGTAAATCTCTTCTGAACTCTCTCCAGCTTAATAATATCCTTCCTATAACTGGACGACCAGAATTGGACACAACATTTCAGAAGAGGCCTCACTAATGTTCTGTACAACCTCAACATGACATCCCAACTCCTATACTGAAAGGACTGAGCAATGAAGGCAAGCGTGCCAAATGCCTTTTTAATCACCCTGTCTATATGTGATGCAAACTTCAAAGAATTATGTACCTGCAGCCCGAGGTCCTTCTGTTCTACAAAACTACCCAAGGTACTATCAGTAATGGTATAAGCCCTACCTTTGTTTGTTGCAACAAAATTCAATGCAGTTTTTCAGATGCAAGGTGGACAATCTCATGCAGTTAAATGTAACATTTAATGAGGCATTAAAAGGGAGGAGATGGGCGACTAACACAGGAGGTGACATTACCTGCATGTAAGCATGGTTGGAGGGTTTGGCATTCTCCCCAGATGGTGATGGGCATTCTCCTTCACAGCGGAAAGCATTATACATCTTTGGAAAGATAACCCAGGCACCCCAACCGATCTTATCGAATTTGACCTGAAAATCGATTCTCCGGCATCGGATCAGTTTGCCATCCCTACCGTGATGCCGGGGATGGCGTCGAATAGGGGTTCTGCTGTGTTCAGCCCTACCCTTCCTATGCCCTCTGCCACAAGTCCTCTTTTGTTGCCGTACCACCTGGCCCTTCAGCTTCAGCCAGCATCCCTTTCTCTTTCGGGGCTTCCGCACATGTTTGGAGCTATTGGCGTCTTTCAGCAGTGAGGAACTCTTTGAGCAGCTCTGCTCAGGTCTCTGGGAAAACACCAGCAGCAGTGCTGTCTCCTTGGTCTCTGTCTTGCTGTCAGTTCTGGTGGAGGGGAGGGACCTCTTGCTTCTGCAGACTGGGCTCTCTGGCCACTGGAGTCCAGTGAGCCTGCCCCTGCCTCTGGGCTTTCTGCGGTTGATCCAGTGCCTCAGGATGTTGGTGACATTGTAAATGGCACAGCCCTCAGCATCCTCCAGCACTGAGGCAGGAGGGAAGGAGCCCAAGAAGAGCTGGTCCTGACAGGTAGCTGGTCCACATGGATACTCCGATTGGTGATGGAGCTCCAGGAGAGAGCAGGACTCCGCAAAGGCAGGCACACTGATCCTCAACTCGGCAAATTGAAGCTTCTCATTGGCTGCGAGCATGGACATGTCAAAGGTGACAATCCACCGGCTTCCATTGTGATGGAAACCTAGCGACAAGTAAACAGCAGCGATTAATCAAGACTATTAATGCCATGTTAATCATATAGTTTTTCAAAATATATACTTTATTCATAAAATTTGAGAAAGCATATTATAAAATATTTTGACTTGAAATGACTGAAAGTGCAATAAAATTCAACTCAGCCCATGCAGCATATTCCACTCATGTGAATTATTATATTGTTATGAATAATAGCCACCAGGTAAACAAGTGATTGATTGTCTTTGAGCACATATAGTCTTAGAGTCATACAACACAAAAAAAGACCCTTTGGTCCAACCGGTACATGCCAAAATAACCCCAAACTAAACTAGTCCAACCTGCCTCTTCCTGCCCCATATACCTCCAAACCTTTCCTATCCATGTACTTATCCAAATGTCTTTTAAATGTTGTAATTGTACCCACATCCACCACTTCCTTAGGAAGTTCATTCCATACATGAACCACCCTGTGTAAAATATTTGCCCCTTATGTCTTTTTTAAAATCTCTCTCCTCTCACCTTAAAAATGTGCCCCTAGTCTTGAAATCCCCCATCCTAGGTAAAAGACAACTACCATTAACTCTATCTATACCACTCATTATTTTATAAACTTCTATCAGGTCACCTCTCAACCTCCTACACTCCAGTGAAAAAAGTACCAGCCTGTCCAACCTTTCTTTATAACTCAAACCTTCCATACCCAGCAACATCCTAGTAAATCTCTTCTGAGCCTTCTGCAGCTTGCTAATATCCTTCCTATAACTGTGCGACCAGAACTGGACACAGTACTCCAGAACAGGCCTCACCAATGTCCTGTACAACCTCAACAAAACTTCCCAGCTCTTATATTCAAAGGACTGAGCAACGAAGGCAAGCACATAAAAAGGAACTTGCCCCTTTAAGGAGCTGTCAATTTAGTAATTTGCTTATTTTGTTCATTTGATTTACTCAGAGTATTAAAAGGGACTTCCCTTTTAAAAGGTGGTTAACTTGTTAATTTTGGTTTTGTTAGCTGATGTGCTAAAGGGTTGGAAAACAGGCACTGCTGGGACACAAAGGGCAGCAGCAGTTGGGACAGAGATCAGGAAGGCTGCATCCTTTGAATAATCTCCTTGCAAGGAAAAGAATTGTGTCTCGTTTCATACTTCATTACTTGGCTTGGATCCATTTAACAAAAAGGATGGAAGCATCCACGATAGCTCAGCGACTAAACATCCTGCCGGTGTGATACTGAGCCAAACAAAACAGAACGTTTCTGTTTTCAATCCCTAGACTGAGCTGTGTCAGCTGATCTCCTCTAAAGCTACAGTAAGGTTTGTGAGGGATACTAAGAAGTGCCGATGCTGGAGTCAGAGATAACACAGTGTGGAACTGGAGGAACACAACAGGCAAGGCAGCACCAGAGAAGTAGGAAAGTTGATGTCTCGGGTTGGGACCTTCAGTTGCCTAGTTAGTCCCCGGCTATGGAGGAGCAAGTATCAATCAGGGTTCCCATTCTTGATCACCACACTGGGATTTGCGGACAGTCAGTGAGAATAGGATTGGTTTGGCTGTGATGCCCCTAATGGCTCAATAGTTTGCTAGCACACATTGTCAACAATAGTGAGAGAGATCCCAGCATCTGTGGAAACCAATTGGAAGTCAATACCAATTGGAGAGGAAGGCAAGAAGAGGTAGAGATTGAAACTGTAGGTATAGCTGAGGCAGTGTGGTACATTGTGGAATTGTTAACAGGAAGTGCTGATATGTCTCAGAAATTAGGCTATTCAGCCCACTGAGTTAGCACTGCTATTCAACTAATGGCTGATCTTCTACCTCTGTCATTGTCCTGCACTATCCTCATATCCCTTCATGTTCTTAGTATCTAGAAATTTATCAATCTCTATTTTAAACATACTCAATGACGGAGCCTCCACACCCTTGTGGGACAGAAAATTCCAAAGTTTCATCACCCTCAGAAGAAATTCCTCTTCATCCCTGTCCCAACTTGAAAGGGTTCAGAAAAGATTCACAAGGATGTTGCCAGGATTGGAGGGTTTGAGCTATAGGGAGAGGCTGAATAGGCTGGGGCTAATTTCCCTGGAGTGACGAAGGCTGAGGGGTGACCTAGAGTTTTATAAAATCATAAGTGGCATGAATAGGGTGAATAACCAAGGTTTGTTTTGCCGATGGTAGAGGAGTGCAAAACTGGAGGGCCTAGATTTAGGGTGATAAGGGAAAGATTTAAAAGGAACCTAGAGGGCAACTTTTTCACGCAGAAGGTAGTGCGTGTATGGAATGAGGAAGTGGTGGAGGTGGGTAAAACTACAACATTCAAAAGGCACCTAGATGGGTGTATGAGTAAGAAGGGTTTAGGGGAATATGGGCCGAATGTGAGCAAATGAGATTAGATTAATTTAGAATTTCTGGTCAGTATGGATGAGTTGGACCGAAGGGTCTGTTTCCATGCTGTACAGCTCTATGACTCTATGACACCAAGGGAAATATCCTTCCTCTATCTGCCCTATCAAGCCCTGTGACAGTTATGTTTTTTTAAAAAATCTCACAGGAAATAGCACATCAGCTTGAAAGAGCAGACAGGCCATTTATTTATGATCCCATTGACAACTATTGACCATGAGTACTGAACTGATGTGAGGAATTCTGCCTTAGTTTCCTCCTCCTCTTCATCCAACAACATCCCACACCCCAAAAAGGACTTCCTACATTTTCCAGAAACCAGCTCCCTTTACTATAGGCACATAACCCAGCCACCACCCACTTGGGTCAAATACACAGCCACACTCCTATGAAAGGAAAATTCTCCTGAGGAGGTTACCCAAAATCAGCAACATTCCTCATTGTTGGCAACAGAGCAGCTCATCGCCATAACGATGCAGGGAATCTCTCACAGGAAAGAACCATCCCAAACTGAGTGAAGGGTCTAGGCCCGAAACGTCAGCCTTTCTGCTCCTATGATACTGCTTGGCCTGCTGTGTTCATCCAGCTCTGCACCTTGTTGTCTTGGATTCTCCAGCATCTGCAGTTCCTACTATCTGACCCATCTTTCTCATTTCCAACTGTCTGGACCAGCTGTGAAGCATTTTCCCATTTTCCATTTAAATCTTCTCTGGAAAAAAAAACAGCCTCGCAAGCCAAAAGCAACAGGCAACAAACACTGGCCTTGCCAGAGACACCCAGGTGCCACAAAATAATTTTGGAAAATCTTAAGCATTTTGCAATCTTACGAACACAATGCCTGTGGCTACACATTTAGACAGCACATCATTGTCTGTTAAATTGTTTTGGGATGTCCTGTGGAGGGTCTAAAGTAAAGGTAAGCTTTCTTTTCCAAACTGCACGTTAAACCGAAAAAAAATCTTTGATTTGCCTCGCATTAAATTGTTTAATTAACAAAGTTTCGGAAGGAGAAGCCAGTCTCTGTACATCTGAATGTGGATTGGGGGAATGTCAATCCCTGGGATAAACTGTCTACAATAAAGCTCTGGAAAAGAGACAGACATTTCAGCCCAGGTCCTGAGACACGCCTTGATCTTCCGAGCAACCACTGACCACCACCCCACCCCCGTTCAAAGACATCAAAACCCTGAATGTGGATTGTCCTAGACTGGCTGTGTCTGGGAGAGAGACAGAGATTTGAGGGAAGTCAGCGGCCACATCAAAAACGACAAATCGAAACCCAAAACGCAGACCCAGCGAGGAGGAGAAAGAGGGGAAATTAATAAAACAAAAAGTTACTTTACTTTTTGCCACCAGGCTCCGCACGGTGTCCGCCTCCGGTAACACGGGCCGTTCGTGAGCCAAAAGGCCGCTGTAATTGCCCGAGCTGTAACTGCGGTACAGGCTGAGCATGTGCGAGGGCAGGCTCAGGCTAATGTTGCGTGCCTCCAGGCGCTTGATAAAGGCAGCCACCTCCCTGAAACTGACCGGGGGGCCCGGTTTGCTCTCCAGCACACGCCAGGGCCACTTGCCTGTTGGATTGGCCCGGACCATTGAGATGGAAAGCAATGCGAGCAGGATTGGGAATTGCATTTCTCCGGATACAAGAGACAGCCCCAGTGTGTGTGTGCTGGCTCCTTATATACAACCGCCCAATGCATATTAACTGCCCACACTACCCCAGACAGATCGAAAGCCATTATTCTGCTAATGTAGGCCCTTCATGACCCATATGACAGGTAGTAATTAGTTTTACAAGACAATGGAAATTTTACTTGTAATCTCCATTTTTGTTTAAACCAGCGGTGTTACATTTGCCTTTGCAATTGTCAAATTATTCAGTGCCACTGTTGGGTTTCGATGTTTCGCTCGAATGGATCCCTCAGATGTGCAGAAGTGACAGACTGGACTTTTGAAGGGCTTCTTCATGCATATAAACCCAGCGAGAAAAAAACATTTGAGAGGGTCCATTTACAGTTCGGAGCCAGTTCGGGCTGAGATGAAAGCGACTTGCGTGACCTGTCCCCGTCCTGTGTTTTTCTCTGCATTACAGTGGGGTTTATCACATCGCTAATCAGCTTTATTGTAAATCGCTCATCATCGTTATACACTCATGATTCAAAGGCTGGACATTACAATTTAAAAATGAATAATGCTTCTTTAGCATGAGCCTGCAGCTATGAATTCATTTTTTACACTAAAAACATTGATTATCCCAACTAATTGGAGGGACGGCGTGGGAAAATGGATCCAGATCAAAGGATTGTAAAGCAGCCACTAAAGTGAATAATTGACTGAATACGTCAACTGGATTGGAAGGGGGACGTATAAAGTTAATTTGATAACACTGCAAGAACACATACAGATAGCTAATTAAATGCATATAATATTCTGAATTTACAATTTATTCTCCCCTCCTCCCGTAGCCTTGTTCACCTCTCACCCTCTGCTCCCTGATCGACATTGATATTTTCACTCCAACAAATGCTGTCAGACCTGCCAAGTTTCTCAAGCGTTTTCTGCATTTAATTCAAATCTCCAGCATCCGCAATAAGTTTTTGTTAAATTCTTTTTCATGGGATATGAGTGTCACTGGCGTGGGCAGTATTTGTTGCCCATCCCTAATTGCCCTTGAACTGAGTGGCTTGCTAGGCCACTTCAGACTGCGATTGAGAATCAGTATCATTGCAGTAGGTCTGGAGTCACATGTAGGCCAGGCAAGGTAAGAACTGCAGACTTTCTTCCTTAAATGATATTAGTGAACCACAGTTTTTATTTTAAATTACATCAGTTTTGTGATGATCATTATCGAGACTTTCAAATCCAGGTTTGCTCATTAATTTAAATTCCAGTAACTGATGTACAAAAACAGAAGTTGCTGGAAAAGTTTAGCGGGTCTGGTAGCATCTGTGAAGAAAAAAATCAGAGTTAACGTTTCGGATCCCGGTGACCCTTCCTCAGAACCGGTAACTGACGTGTTGGGTTTGAATCCTTGACTCAATTCAATTACAGCTGGATGTCTGGATTACTGTTGTGAAGAAGGGACACTGATTCTGAAACATTATGCTTTCTCTCCACAGATGCAACTCAAAATTGCTGAGTTTTCCCAGCAATTTCTGTTTTTGTTTCTGATTTTCAGCATCCGCAGTTTCTTGTTTTTTTTTCTCTCCGGATTACTAGTCTAGTTATTACAATGTCACAACCCACTATTATATCCAAGTCAAAAAGTGACGACTTTAAAATTCGCATCCCTGTTTTCAAATCCCTCCAGAGTCTTGACCATATTTTTGATTTTTGATTTGATTTATTATTGTCACATGTACCTAGGTACAGTGAAAAGTTTTGTTTTGCATACAGTACAGGCAGATCATTATACGAAGTGCATTAGGGTAATAGAGCCGAGAGAGGATTACAATGTTATGGCTACAGAGAGTGAGATCGACATTAAGTTTAAAATTTGAGAGGTCCATTCAGAAGTTTAACAACAGCAGAGAACAAGCTGTTCTTGAATCTGTTGGCTCATATGTTTAATCTTTTGTATCTTCTGCCCGACGCAAGAGCTGGAAGAGATTATAACTGGGGAAGGAGGGGTGTTTGATTATGTTGGCTGCCTCTCACAATCCTTTAAGATGGCTATGGTCACCAAATCCAGACTTTTGACTATCCCTGACCTTAATCATTCCACTGTTGATGGCCATAACTTCAGTGTGCTGAGGCCCCACAGTCTGGAGTGTCCTCCTTATGCCTTTCCTTCTGTACTTTTGTCTTTCCCTCTTCCAACACACCACCTTGACCAAGCTTTTGCTCAACTGACCTTACATCTCCTTACTTGGCTCTGTGTCATATCCTTTTATACTGTGTCTCTGAAGTACCTTGGGACATTGTATCACATTAAGGTGCTATATAAATTTAAGTTGTTATTGAAGTAATTTGTATGTTAATATTCCCTGTAACAACAAGACATGCTTGGAAATCCGAGTGACATGATCATCTCAATGGATTGACAACATTTCATACTCCATTCTGATGCATTATTGTACTCTCAACATAACTTGCAGTGACTTTCAAAATATAGGGGAAAAATGTGAACTTAATTTTCTCACTTTTTTTGAATTGCAAACATCTAATGCTCTGAAATGAAAGTTATCGAATGGAAGTGACTTAGTGACTACAGAGAAGGAGAATAAAGGAACTCTCATTGGTGTTCTGGTCAATATTTATCCCTCAGCCAACGCTATTAAGAGAAGGCTGTGTGTTGCAGTCTGTGGGATCTTATTGTGTCAAAACTGGCTGTTGCTTCTCCTATACTATAAAAGTGACTACATTTCAAAAATACTTTATTGGCTGTAAAGTGTTTTGAGATATCCAGTGACCATGAAAGGCTCTATAATAATGAAAGTCTTTCTTTCCATGCCCCAAAAAAAGCAAAGGAAAGCTAAGAGAGAGAACACCACTATGTGGAAACTGTGCAGATGTCTGGACTGCAGAGATAATCAGGTCATTGCCAAGGTGAGCTGGGAACAAGTCACTTCATGGGTTACGCTGATGGAGCTTCCTGACAACTCTAAAAGACCCATTCAAATTCCATTTTATATTCAAGGAGAGATGCAGATGGCACTCACGATGTTCTTAAAGTTTATGTGTTACTTGGTGAGGCTGGTACAAGCTCGGTTTTGATGCTCCCTTTTCATGCACTTTGCCAAGGCACACACAATGAGTAATGCCTGTTTGGACAATGTGACAGGGGACATCCTGTGTCTTTGAAAGCATATCGAAGAAAAGAGCTAATGTCTTCAAGAGGGGAAAGATTGAAGTGGCGAGAGGAATTTGAATGGAGTTGGAAACATGGAGGGGGATTCTTGACAGAACAATGAACAGCCTGTTAAGGTAAAACTTATTGTGCATTTAAAATATTCAAGCGAATGAAAATATTCACTGCTTTGCCAAATCCCAAGTCACTGTTCAATCTCAGTATATATTGTCAATTTTAACATTGAAATGCAGGTCATGCCCAGCAAAATGGGTATGAGTGATAGGCAATGTTTCTGGGATGTGACAATTCATTTTGGCATTGCCAGTATCAAACATGGCATCCTGTTGTCCTGACCTGCATTAGGCATATGGGTTTGTATCTGGAATTGTTGAATTAAAACAGGAGGTAAGACTGCATAAGAAAGTAAAATAAAATAATTGAATGCTAACCTTGTCAAAATTTATCCTCAAATCATCTTCACTAAAACACATTATCGGGCTACTGTTGCATAGATGTTTGTGGGAACTTGCTGTGTGAAATTTGGCTGCTATGTTTCTTATATTTACAATGGCAAAAATACTTCATTGGCATCCTGAGATCATGAAAAGTGTTACATGCAAGACTTTCCTTCTTTAATGTAAGAATGAGAATATGTTTTAAGTCATAAATATATCTTCATTTTGTGGACAAACAGTTATGTAAAGTATACAATTGCAAATACAATGAATACATTTATACCCATTACAATTGGTGCTTTAAAAAGTTTTTGTTTCATTCATTCAGAGGATATGGGCATCACCAACTGGCCAGTATTTATTGCCTGTTCCTTGTTGCCGTTTGCAAAGGTGATCGTGAGCTGCCTTCTTGAACTACTGCAGTCCATTTGGTGTAGGTAGACCTAGAATGATGTAAGGGAGGGGGTTCCAGGATTTTGATCCAATGACACTGCAAAAGCAGCAATATATTTCCAACTCAGGATGTTGAGTGTCTATGAGAGAAAATTGTAGTTGGTGATCTTCCCATATGTCAGCTGTCCTTGTCATTCTCGATGGTAATGGTCATACGTTTGGAAAATGCTGCCAAAGGAACCTTGATGAGCTGTTACAGTGCACTATGTGGATGATACACACTGCTACCCATTGTACCTCTGTGATGTAAGGAGTGGATTTGCTGCCAATCAGGCAAGTTGCTTTGTCCTGGATGGTGTCAAGCTTCTTATGTGTTGTTGGACATGCACTCATCCAGGCAACTGGGGAGTATTCCATCACACTCATGGCTTGTGGCTTTCAGATTTATCAGCTGAGGGAGACCTGGCAAGTAGGTGAAGGCTTCCTCACTCATTTTTGACCTGATGCCGTGAGACTTTTTGAGATCCAAAGTCAATGTTGAGGACTCCCAGGGTAACTCCCTCCCAAATGTTTACTACTGTGTCACTACCTGTGCAGACCTGTCCTGTGGGACAGGACATACCCAGGGATGGTGATGTAGGTGCCTATGATTTTATCTTTGAGGTATACATGTCCATGAGTATGACAATGTCATGCTGTTGCCTGACTGTGTGACAGCTCTCCCAATTTTGACACTGTCTTCAGATGTTACTAGGGAGGACTTTGCTGGATCGATAAAGCTGAGTTTGCCGTTGTCATTTCTGATGACATTTCAATGCCAGGTGGTCCATCCAGTTCATTTCTTTTTTACTGAGACTTTTTAACTGTTTGATACAAGTAAGTGGCTTTCTCGGTCATTTCAGAGGGCAGCTAAAAGTTAACCACATTGCGGTGGGTCTGGAGTCTCACATTGGCCTGACCAGGTAAAGTTGGCAGACTTCCTTCCTGAGACAAGTTCAGTGAAACAAATTGACTTTATGAAAGTGGTT